GTTGGTGCATAAATGTAAATAGTAGTGGTATTAACTGGGCTTCCTTGTAGGCCTGTGGATAGTATCCTATCACAGCGTTGTTCCTCATGGCAGATCTTGATACGTTCTTTCTGATGATGGATGTGACGCCATTCCTCTTCAGTTTGTCATTCCTGGCATAGTAAAACCATGTGATTGTCAGATTCAAAATGGCCAATATCAGTCCATTTCAGCTCATTAATGCCTAGGATATTGATATTTATGTGTTCCGTTTCATTGTTGACAACTTCCAAATTTCCTAGACTCATACTTCCTATATTCCGTGTTCTGATTATTAATGGCTGTTTGCAGCTGTTTCTCTTGTTTTGAGTTATACCCTATCTGCAAATGAAGGTCCAGAAAGCTGTATTCCATTTATACCATCACAGTCAACTCTACAATGAGGAGGCAGCTCTTCCCCAGTTGTGTGTTGAGTGCCTTCCAGTGTCCCACTGTTCTTCATAAGGTTTTCAGTGACTAACCACTCAGAAGTAGTCTGTCTCTCCTCCTTCCTAGTCTGTCAGTCTGGAAACTGCGCTGAAACCTGTCCACCTTGGTGCCATAGCTTTCAGCATCACTATAACTCCCAAGCCACCACAGTATGACAAAGCCACCGGTGTGACAAACTGACAGGCGAGTGCAGTGGGGAAGCGTTAGTTGGCAGCACCGTCTTCAGAAATATCGAGTGCTAGATGAAGGGGATGTCTTGAAATGATAGCTTCCCATTTTGATATCTTTGTTTAATAAAGGTTTCTGTGATTATGTATCAATCTTCTTTGACGTACCCTCATGTTAAAGAGATGATGCTGACTTCTAAAATCACTGATAAAGTCTAATCTCATTTCACGTTCGTTTTCCCTTCAATCAAGTTTCCCTAAAATGCTGCATCATCTAGAATTAGAGCTCCAAACCCCACTGCAGTGGAGCCAGTTCTGACTCTCAGTGACCCTGTAGGACAGATAGAACTGCCCCATAGGTCTCCAAGGCCGTCACCTCTCGGAAACTAGCTGGCTTGTCTTTCTTCTGCAGCTGGTTAGTAGCCAAGCTCCAGGGCTCCTGTCTGGAATTAAAGCTGGGTTGATGTTAGGCCACCAAGACCAGGCAGGGAGTTTGCCAAGTCATCCCAATGCTGATTCATTATGTACTTGTATCAAGAATGGTTCCCACTTTGATGACTGCTATGGGTCCCTGGCTATTCCTGGGCATTAGGATATTGGCCTACACCACCAATACTGGGTAGGGTGGGGGGTCTCCCACATGGAAAGCAAGGATTCTATCACTGATTCTGGGATTATGTTGTTAAGTGCTGTTGATTCAGTTCTGGCTCATAGCAACCCTATATAGGGTTTCCAAGGAGCGGCTGGTGGGTTTGAACCGCCAGCCTTGTGGTTAGCAGTCCAGTGTTTATCCTACAGCGCCACACCAGGACACCAGCTGCAGGATGGTGGTGGTGGTTGTGTGCCATGGAGTCATTTCTGAGACTAAATCTTTACGGGAGCACAAAGCCTCACCTTTCTCTCGCGGAGCAGCTGGTAGATGGGAACTGCTGACCTTCGATTGTATTCTATATAAGTGTTGACAGCATGGTGGGAAAGAGCTAAAGTTCAGGGAGAAAATGTCTGGTGAAAAAGGACAGGTGAAAGCAGGGGACAGAGAAGTGGCATGGGGCATTGAATGACAGGTGGAATGTGTTATTGTTAGCTCTCCGCTGCTGGTGATACCCAACAGAACTAAGCCATCCTCCTGTACAGATTGGGCATAGTGGTCCACAGGGTTCTCAGTGGCTAAGGTCTGGGTGCGGATCGCCTGGCTTCTTTTCCTAGTCTGTCTTAGTCTGGAAGCTCAGCTAAACCCTATTGAGCATCCTAACAATATACAAACTTCCACTGGCAGACAGATGGGGTGGTGGGTGCATGTGAGAAACACTGAGCAGGAATCAAACCTGGGCCTCCCTTAAGGAAGGGGAGAATTCTACCACTGACCAAAAAAAAATGTTATTAAGTACATTAATCACCGTTGTGAAATAATTAAAACACATGTAACAAATGTTGGGAAGAAGATGAAGTGTGTGTGTGTTGGGGTTAATCTCCTTCAAATTGAATCAATGACTATTGCCTTAGGCTGAGAACCTATTCCCTGCATCATCATCTGAAGATATGAAACTACCAGAACCAGGGGGGAAACATCATAGAGCAGTTGTTCTGGGGGCACCTGGGGGTGGGAAGCTGTGGCTTTTCACAGTGTTACACGGTCATTGATCACATGGCTGCTAACTAAAAGGTCAGATGTTTGAACCCACCAGTCACCCCATGAGAGAAAGATGTGGCAGCGTGCTTCCGTAAGATTTACAGCCTTGGGAACCCTATAGGGCAATTCTCCTCTGCCCTATGAGTTCGAATCCCAAACCGGGGGGGGGGGGGGGGTAGCTTTTAGACCTGTGACATGTTATGATGTCATGACTCTGGTAAAGAAAAGAAGACTGGCAGCAGAGAGAGAATGACTTTTAAAGGACGAAGACCGGGGGATGGTGCCATGTGCCCTGAACAAATGCCCTCAGGAGAATTAGCTGTAAAACGCACGTTAGATCTGCAAACAGAAGCATCGGACTGTTCCGGCCCCTAAGAGGCTCAATGGCACCATCAGCAGCACTTCCAGTTCAGGCTTTCTGACGAGGCTAGCAGCAGAAGTAAGCATTTTTGCAAGGCCACTTCCGTCCTTTTCCTAGGGGATGCTGGGAGGACGTGTAAAGTCCAGGGTGATGCAGGAAGTTTGTGTTCACCTGCTTTTCTAAAGACCAGGGGTCCAAACCCGCCCAGCAGTGCTGCGGAAGAAAGACTTGGCAGTTGGCTTCCATAAAGACTGGTGGTGGTGATATCGGCTGCCGTCGAGTTAATTTCTGCTCACCAAGACCCCCTTGTGACCAGTTACAGCCAGGGAAGCCCGTGGAGCCTTTCTGTTAAATAGACTGTCCCCCAGCCCCAACTCAGAACTGACGCCAGGGTAACATGACATGCTGTTCTCCGGCTCCCCTGGATGGTGCTGATGGGTAAATGCTGGACTAGTAACCCAAGGGTTAGTGGTTTGAGTCTACGTGACTATCTGCTTCCCAAAGGACATCTTGTTGTTGTTGTTATGTGTCGTGGAATTGGTTCTGACTTATAGTGACCCAACCCAGGGTTTCCGAGGCTGTAAATCTTTATGGGAGCAGAAAGCCTCATCTTTCTCCCGCGGAACCACTGGTAGTTTCGAACTGCTGACCTTGCGGCTCGCAGCCCGATTCGTAACCACTGTTGAAAAACCCTAAGGGGTGCATTTCTGCTCTTTACACATGGGGTCGGTCACCAAGAGCAGGAGTCGAGAAGCTTATAACCAGCAGTGGCAGTTCCTGGGCTTACACGGTAAACACAGAACCTTTGAGCTTCACAGTTTCCTGGGCAGCTTGTTGTAAACGAGGAGGAATTATTCCAGAGAGTCTGAATTAAAGGAATTAGAATTCAACTTAATGGTGCCAATGAGGCAGACAAGCAGACTCCTCACCCCAGACACACGTACCATTGCTTCTAGAAATGGGTCTTCCCAGCTGACAGGATGAGGATTGGGGAACCCCTGCCCCCACTGCTCAGTATGGAAGGTGTTCCTCTGCAGAGGGAAGGGGGGTCCAGGAACATCAACTGGAGAAATGACAACTGGATTCCAAACAGGCTCGTGCCCAGGATATCAGAAGCACAGTGAGAAAACAAGGAAATGGCTAGAATACTCCCCGGTCCGAGAATTGAAGAGAAACCAACATGTATGTAGGTATCCTTTCTAGAACAGCATTTAGTACTTGGCAGCATTGAAACAGGAACAGGAAGTCTCTGTCGGGCCCGGTAGCACAAATGATGGACACACTCGGATGCTAATGGAAAAGCTAGAGGTTTGAGGTCACCCAAAGGCACCTCAGAAGAAAATCCTGGTGATCTGCTTCAAAACTATCAGCCTTTGAAAATGTTATAGGAGCACAGGTCTACTCTGACACACAGGGGGCGCCACAAGCCAGAATAGACTCAGCAGTAGTGGCTGGTTTGTATGGAGACATTGATCTGGGTTGGATGATTTGTTCCTGCAGATTTTTGGTGGTCTTCATGATCTCTTCACTCAGTCAGTAATGGTTGTCAGGTGCCGTCAAGTTAGTTCAGACTTACAGTGACTCTGAACACCAGAACACAACACTGCCCAGTTCTGCAGTGTCGTGACAATCTCTGCTGTGTCTCAGCGCATTGTTACAGCCACCTCGTTGGGGGTCTGCCTCGTCTTCACTGACCCTCCTCTTTAACAAGCATGCTGTCCTTCTCCAGGGACTGGCCCTTCCTGACAACATGTCCAAAGTGCATGAGATGAAGTTTCGCCATCTTGGTCTCTAAGGAGCATTCTGGCTGTACTTTCAAGACAGATGTGTCTGTTCTTCTGGCAAGTACACAAGCCGTGGTACTTTCAGTATTCACCAACGCTACATAACTCAAATGCATGGATTCTTCTATGGTCTTTCTTATTCATTCGCTAGCTTTTGCATACATATGAGGTTACTGAAAATACCATGGCTTGGGTCAGGTGCATCTTAGTCCTCAAACTGACATCTTTGCTCTTGAACACTTTAAAGAGGTCTTGTGCAGCAGACCTCTGCTGCATTATGTCATTTGATTTCTTGACTGCTGCTTCCATGAACGTGGACCCAGGTAACTGACGGGCAACGCCTCGTAAACAGAAATGCACTACTGAAAAACAAACAAAACACCAAATGGATTCTGGCTCATGACAACCAACATAAAATTCTCTAACTCAAGTACCATATCTGCAGGTGTGGCCATGTTTCCTTAAAACATCATAGAAAAATACACAATCCCCCCAAAACCCCAGCCTCAGCATCTGTTTCACAATGGGTGTGGCTTCTGCGGGTCTTGATCTGGTGGGAACGTGCTCATAACCCACCTTTGTCTCCCCAGCAAAGGGTTACCTTCAGCATTTGCCTTGGAAGAGGGGACCATCTACCTGACCTCGGAGCCAGGTGCACCAGAAGCACAGGATGATAATGCCTCTGTTCTCGACGTCTACTTGGTAAGTCACTTGTCACTTTCTACTCCTTCCCTGTCCCTCAGCCTGACAGGCAGACCCAGACCATGGCTTACAAAGAACCAAGACAGTGCGGCCTGTAGGAAGGACAGTGGCACTGGTCACACCTACCAAGGGCATGTCATTTCACAAGTGATTTTTCCCACATAGCACACAGCACTTAAGAGCTAGACAATATAGTGCATCACCAGATACGAAAGGGCTTCAAAATGTCCCTGGGAAAAACTCCATCAGCTTTCAGTTCTATGTTTCCTTCAACTTTTAAAGCCCCTTCATGTAACAAGAGGACATGTCCCTTAAAGTCAAGGCAAAGTAGGGCTCCTTGGTGGTGGTCTCAAGATTAGCTTCCTTTGACAGTACAAGATTGTCCCCCTTCCATTTGGATCTTTTCTTTGGACCTTAAACCAGCCACATGCCATCAAGTTGACCCTGCCCCATGGCAACCCGTGTGTGTCAGAGCAGACCTGTGTGCTCCCCAGGAGTCTCAGTGGCTGAGTTCTCAAAGTAGATCACCAGGTGTTTCTTCTGCAGCACCTCTGGGTGGACTTGAACCTTCAGCTTTTCGGTGAACAGCCAAGTGCATTCACTGTTGGAACCACCCAAGGACTCTATTTTGGGGTCACCCCCTTGGTCTGTTTGTAGAGTGAGCAGCAGAGGCTGTACCCTGGGAAAAACCCGAATTCAGAACCAAAGTGTCCAGTCTCTGTGTTACCAACAAGCTGTGTGATTTGGGTAGGAACGAAATGAATTATCGATCCATTTAGTTGATAAATAAGTTCTCATTTGCCAAAAAAATAAATAAATAAACGAAACCTCCTGCCTTCAAGCTGCTTCCGACTCACGTGACCCTGCAGGGCTGAGTAGAACTGCTCCATGAGGTTTCCTTCAATCTTTACAGAGCAGACGGCCTCAGCCTCCTCCTGCCGAGCAGCTGGAGGGCTTGAACCCCCAACTTCGCAGTTAGCAGCCCGATGCTTCACCCACTGCACTGCCAGGGCTCCATTTGTGCCAGTCTGGGGAAATAATCCTGGTCCTGTCCCCGACCTTGCAGTCCAGTGATGTATCCTACGGCACCGCACCAGGACTCCTACATATTCTGTTTGCAGCAAAAAATGAATTTTCTCTGCCCCTCCCCACCCCACACTAACAGAAGTAAGTTCATAGCATTCTTCAGGATCCTTCCAGAAAAACTGGCTCCCCTCCGCCCCCACCCCCATGTCCAAGGGGATAAGAGACTAAGTAGGAAAGATGGGCAACATTTTTGAGTCCTGGGGTGCGTTTGGTCTCCATTGTCAGCTGACATCAGAGAAGCTGCTAGGAAAGAAGTCAGGTGAGAGCCTGGGATGATGAGCAGTCATTCCTGTCCCCCACCCCTACCCCGTTTGTGGGTCTGTGGAAACGCCGGTGAGACTCTAAAGTGAGACTTGGAATCACAAGGTAGTTGAATGAATTCAGTGCTGGATCCTCGGCTCCTCATTTGCTTCCCTTGATCCTTTGCTTGCCCCTCCCTCCTCAGTATGATCCTTTGCCGCAATAAGAAGTCCGCCATTTTGGTTTATTTAGAGTTTTACTCCATTGTTCTTTGGAGTCTGTAGCTCTCCTACTATGAAAGAGCAAACATTTCAGAAAAGGATAATGCCTGTCTCTTGAAGCCGTGAGGAAGAGCTACCATTAATGGTTGGTTGTTAAGAGTACTTAAGGACTCCTGGTGTGGCGATGTAGGATCAGCACTGGACTGCAAACCACAAGGTTGGCAGTTCAAACCCACCAGCTGCTCCATGGAAACCCTGTATAGGATCGCTGTGAGTCAGAACCAACTTGATGGCACTTAACAACAACGAGAAGGATCAGTTAGAAATAAACGTGTCATCATAGGAGTTTAAGGCACCCTGATGGTGCTATAGGGTAAGCACTGGACTGCTAATCACAAGGGCAGCAGTTCGAACCCACCAGCTGCTCTATGGGACAAAGATGAGACTGTCTGATCCTTTAAAGATCTAGTCTCAGAAGCCCTACGTAAGATCACTGTGAGTTGAAATTGACTCGATGACAGCTGTTGGTGGTTTGGGTCCAAGTATAAGGATGGTGCTCAGCTGGCTGGTGCGGTCATGTGGTCTTTGCTTCCAGCCAGGCATTGTTGGGTCCAGAATCACAAATGGAAAGGAAAGAAAGGCATCCAGACGAGGATGGAAATGTTTCTCACCAGGTTTGAAAAAACACTGATCTTGCCTAATCCTGTTCCTAATCTTAGTTTGTCCCTAATCGCATTAAGCTCTGACACATGTCTTAGCATTTTTCTGCATGCCTGGCATCATGCTAAGTCCTTTAAATGAGGATTAGCTGATGGCTCAGACTCACCTGCTGCTCCTCAAAAACTCTATACAGGGTCACTATGAGTCGGAACTGACTTGAAAGCATTTAACAACAGTAACTGGTTAATCTTCACAGCAGCTGGTGAGAAAGGTGTGGAAACTGAGGCACATAGCAGTTATGCAGTTTGGCCCAGGTGATACGGCCAGTAATGAATAAGAAGGAGGCTGGGTGGCACATAGGGTGTGCACAATCAGCTGCTAAAGCTAAAGGTTGGTGGTTGAAACCTACCCAGCAGCTCTGCGGAAGAAAGGCCTGGCAACTACTGTAACGATCTCAGCCAGAAAACGCCGTGGAGCAGTCCTAGTCTGTAGCACATGGAGTCGACCTGAGTCGGGGGCCAGTTAGATGGCAGCTGACGACAGCAGCAATATGACAGGAGCCGGGATTCAGAACCGTGGGCACTCTCAGAGCCTGAACCCTTCCATTACTGAGTCGTGCTGCCTTTGCAATACATGAGAGAAGTTACATGACTCGTCTGAGGTCAGACAACAAGGAGAGCATAGAGAGGAAGGAACGCAGGTACAGATGGGCTCATTCCCACTGAGTCCTCCAGCAGTCCTCAGATGGAATGACGCAAGAGAAACCCAGCGTGTCGGTGAGAAAACACAGGATTCTGTGTCTGAACAACCACATGCCAGGCACATTACAAGGGCATTTCTCATCTCGTTTACGGGGCCAGATATGATACGAGGGGGCTTCAAAAAGTTCATGGAACAAGGGAATGAGAAGATAATGGAATTTCTCCCTGAACCTTCTGAAGCCCCCTCGTATTGGTGTCCACTTAGTTGTCGTTAGTTCTAACGCATAGGGACACGGTGAGTGCAGAGCGGGCCTTCTCCCCACTGGGTTTTCAAGGCTGTGGACTTCAGAAGCAGACTGCCAGGCTTGTCTTCTGCGGCACCTCTGGAGGAGTTTGAGCACTGTCTGCTCCACCCAAGGATAAGTTGTATGTGTTGTAATAGATGATTAAATGGCCTCTATGAGTGCATTCCTGGTGTTGTGCTGTGGGTTAATGCACTGGATGGACTACAAGGTCAGTTTAAACCTCAAGGTGTTGGCAGTTCAAGTTCACCAGCCGCTCCTCGGAAAAGCCCTGTACAGGACGGCACTTAACAACCACAAATATTGGACTCCTTGTGTGGCGCTGTAGGATCAACACCAGACTGAGAACCACAAGGGTTGGCAGTTCAAACCCACCAGCTGCTCCTCAGAAACTCTATACTGGGTCACTATGAATCAGAACCGATTCGATGACATTTAGCAACAAGAAGATCTCTTCCAGCCCTGGTAAGCTGGGACTTACTCTAAGTTCTGAGGAAGTTTATCCAAAGTAGCTAGTTATGTCTCTGAAGTTGACTGTTTCATCGCATCTCCTACCATCAGCCTTCAGGATTTAAATTTAGATTTTTATGGGGACATGTCTAGAAAGTTCTGCCCCCTTAACTTATAATTCCAGGCTGTATTTTCAGGCTGGAGGTTGTTGTTTTTACCTAAATGTTCTTGCAGATCTGAAGATCAAATCCACTGTCGGCCTTCCAGGGTTTCATCGGCCTCCTCACTGTGAAAGGGGCGTACACACACAGGAAGGGCAAGGAAGGAAAACCAAGGCAAACTTAGTGTCTGTCTTCTCAACTACTCAAATCGAATCCTCTCAGCCACAACCATCTTGAGGAGCAGCCAGAGCAAGGGTGGGGAACCGTTTTTTCTGCCAAGGGCTACTTGGATATTTATATCATATGTAAGACATACAAAGTTCTCAACTTAAAAATTAGCCTGCTATATTTGGTCAAACATTTAATTAACTCAACCCATAACACGATGGCTCACTCCTTGGAAACCCTACACAGGGTCGCTATGGGTTGGAATCGACTCGACGGCACTTCACAACAGTGTGATGACTGGACTCCTAGTGTGGCTCTCTAGGATCAGCACTGGACTTTAAACCACGAGGTCGGTAGTTCAAACCCACCAGCTGCTCCTCAGAAACCCTATACAGGGTCGCTATGAGTCAGAACTGACTCGATGGCACTTAACAACAACAACAACACTTTGATGGCTAGAACTGCAGTTGCCTTGGCAGAGTCTGGCATTCCCCAACCCTGAGCTAGAGACTTCTGGGGCTAAACTGCATTCACCCTTCTCACCAGATGTCATTAGACTGCTTTATGAAGACTTCTCTGCCTCTAAAAGACACCATTTCTCTGTTGGTGAAACACCAGTTGATGTCAAACTGTTTTCCACACCGTTTCCAATGATTGGTTTTGTGGCAGATCGCCAGGCCTTTCTTCTTCAGCACCTCTGGGTGGACTGGAACATGCAGCCTTTCAGTGAGTTGATGAGCATGCTACTCCTGTGCTCCACCCAGGGATTCGATCTGTTGTCAAAACAAGCAAAATCCAAACCAGTGCCATTGAGGTGATTCCGACTCGTGTGTTACAGAGCACAGCTGTTTTATAGGGTTTTCATGGTTACAGTCTTTATGAAAGCCGGTCTCCAGGCTTTCCTCCATGCCGTCGCTGGTTCCAGCCACCAACTTGTAGGTTAGTTTTGTTGTTAGGTGTTGTTAGCAACCTCATGTGCACCACAGAAGGAGATAGTGCCCAGTGCTGCATCATCCTCACGTTACTGCCCTGTGTCAGTCCACCCCACTGGGGGTCTTCCCCTGCTGCTTGTTGTAACTTCATCCCCTATGCTTGGATCTCTCTGCTGTTGTTATTAAGTGCTGTTAAGTGGGTTCCAACTCGTAGCAACCTGGATGGGGTTTCCAAGGAGCATCTGGTGAGCTTGAACCACTGACCTTGCAGTTCAAACTTTGCAGTCCAGTGCATTAACCTACAGTGCCACACCAGGACTCCATAATACTTCACCGTTGTTGTTATGTGCCAAGGTACCATCGAGTCATAGCGACTCTGTGCACAGCAGAAGGAAACACTGCCTAGTGCTGTGCCGACCTTACAGTCTTCGCTACTCCTGAGACCATGGCTGCTGTCCCTGTGCCAATCCATCTCTTTGGGGGGGTCCCTCTTTTCTGACCCTCCTCTTTACCAAACATAATATCCCACTCCAGGGACCAGTCCCTCCTGATAAGATACCTGAGTATGAGAAACAAAGTCTGGCCATCCTGGCTTCCAAGGAGCACTCTGACTGCACTTTTGGCAGTCCATGGTACTTTCAATATTCTCCTCCAAAACCATTAACTCAAAGTCATCAGTTCATCTAAGATCTTCCTTATTCACTGTCCAACTTTTGCATGCATATGAGGTTATTGGAAATGCCACGACTTGGCTCAGGGTCACCGACTTAGTCCTCAAACTGACATCTTCGCTCTTGAGCACTTTAAAGAGGTCTTGTGCAGCAGATTTTCCTAATGCAATACATCGCTTGATTTCTGGACTGCTGCTTCCATGAGTATTGATGGTTGATCCGAGCAAAATGACAACGTCAATCTTTTCTCCATTTATATGGATGTTGTTTATTGGTCCAATGGTGAGGACTTTTGTTTTCTTTACATTGAGGTGCAACCCAAATCGAAGGCTGTGGTCTTTGATCTTTATGAGTAAAGTATTTTAAGTCCTCTTTGCTTTCAGCTTTGTATCATCTGCATATCACAGTTTGTTAATACTTCATAAATATCTTCAAAACATGAGCTTTAAATCCAAAAGGTTTATCAACACCAGTCAGCATACAATATTTCCTTGGAAGGACCCATCCATACAGTCTGTGTCATTGCATGAGGCCAGCTCTCCTGCTTTCTACTGTGATTTAACATGAAATAAAATAGAGAGACGTTATCCCTGGGAGGGAGCTCGCTGTCCCAGCATCCTTACTACAGCCCTGCCTCTGTCCTCAGTGTACCCGGTTACCCTGACCCCCCTTATGCAAGGAACCCAGTGGCACTGAGGGATAACCACAAGGCCGGCAGTTCAAACCCAGTAGCCACTCCTGGGGAGAAAAATGAGGCTATCTGCTCCTGTGAAAATTTACAGTTTCGGAAGGCCCTACACTATGTCGCTGTGAGTGGGAACCAGCTTGACTGCAGTGGGTTACTTCAGTCACCTTCACTCAGCCTAGTTCCATTTGCAAACATTCAAATCCAGGGCTGTGTCCTTGGCGATGATTCTATCCAGTGACCAGACACTTCGTGTTCTGCTGGATTTTTGAGGATTTTGAGGATGTTGGCACAGATTGGGATATTTGCAGGATAACAGCAAGGGTCCCTGGTGGCGCAGTGGACTGAGCACCGGACTGCTGACCACAGGGGTACCCTCCAGCTTCTCCAAGGAGGAAAGGTGCGCTGTCTGCTCCCATAAAGATTCACTGCCTCAGAAACCCTAAGGGGTCAGTTATGCCGTGTGCTAGAAGATGAACCCCCGAGTTGAACAGGCTGTATTGATTTAACAAGGGCCATGTGGGCAGCTTCACCCTAGAGCAGATGCGACTCTGAATAGCACCAGGCAACCTGACGCAGGAGGCCGTGGAGTTAGCAGACATTTCTATGCCTACAGCTGTTCTTCCCAGTAGAACAGGATTCAGTGGTAATAGAGAAAAGAGCAACATAGGTGGCCCAGTGCCGGAGTGTACTGGATTAGAATGCCCTTTCGTGACTAGCTGGGGAGGCATGGGAAAGTGAGAGATTATATTCTTTGATAAGAACGAGCCCAGTGGCACAGGGGTTAAGCATAGTTGAAAGGTCGGTGGTTTGACCCCACCAGCGGCTCTTCAAGAGAAAGATGAGGCAGTCCGCTCCCACCGACATGGCATCCTGAGAGTCCTATGGGACTGTTCCCTCTCCTACAGGGTGGCTGAGTCCAAGCTGAATCAAAAGCAGTGGGTTGGTGAATGTGGGTCTCGGGTCGTGTCTCTGATGGTGAATGTGGAGTCTTGGCCTGTGTCTCTAAAGGTAAACGTGGGTTCCTGGCCATAAGATAGAGTGAGAATTTGGGGGAAAACACATTTAGATCAGACCATGGAGCAAGTGAACAAAGCTGTCCCCCTTGATATTTTTCACTCCTGTAAGAACAAACTCAGCCTCCCTAGGGGACAGATTGTGTGACAGGGCTGGACAGGGGTCTCCTCCAGGGGCTGTAAGGGGCCCCCTGCCACACATGACCCACCACAGCCATACTGCTGCATCAGGTGAAGGACTGTTAGGCTCAACTTGCCTTAGAACCAGAATCGCTGGGGACTGGCTGGCCTCTGCTGTTGCCCATATCTCCCCCAGCCTAGGGCTCAGTTCCTTCAACTCTACGTCCTGCGACCTTCCGTGCTAGCTGGGTGCCAGAGCTGTGTCCCTTCCCGGTTCTGCCCTGGGACCGCTGGCTAGGCAGAAAGACAGGCATCTTCCTCTAAGGTAGAAGTAAACTTAAGGGGATCTAGTTACTCCTTGGAAACCCTATACAAGGTCTATATGAGTCAGAACCAACTCGATGGCACTTAATACAACTCTTACAAAAATCAATGGAACTTGGTGGAGTGTTCCTGTTCCAGCTCTCAGCAATCCTCTACCGCCACCTACTGGTGAAAGGTATCCTGACCAAGGGTCAAGATGGAGACCTTTGGATGGAAATCCCAGTGGTGTCCTGGTGTGGCGCAGTAGGATAAGCACTGGACCACAAGGTGGGTTTGAACTGTAAGGTCTGAGGTTCAAACTCACCAGCTGCCACTCAGAAACCCTACACAGGGTTGCTAGGAACCGGAACCAACTCGACGGCACTTAATGATAATCACTTCTGATTCCTGAGACCCTGTGGATGGTAGAAGAAAGCTGGCTCCCTCCTGCACCATCTGCAACCTCTGCAATCTTTGAGTGTGTTCTCACTCCACCCACCAAACTTGGTACTGTTCTGCTGTGTCCTATAGGGGGCGCTATGAATCTGAATCAAATGATAGCAGTGACTTTAGCACACGACTCTGAAAATGGGCCCTGGCCTTCTGGGTTGAGAAACCCCCTGGGTTCAGACTGGCATTGATTGGGTGCTCTCAAGCTTCAAGAAAGGTTTAGTGAGGGACAGGAGTGTGTCTCAGCCAGCATTGCTTGATAGATGGTGAGATCTGCCGAGATGTGAGTCCAAGTTATAGGAGGTCCTGGTGGTGCCCACAGTTAAGCGGCGTTGGCTAGCCAAAGGTTGATGGTTCAAACCCACCTAGAGGCACCTCAGAAGACAAGCCTGACCATCTGCTTCCAAAAATAAAACCTTATGGATCACGTTCTACTTGACACACACACGGTCACCATGTGTTGGAACTGACTTGATGGTGCCTGGTAAATCAATCCGGGTGAGAAGTTAGTCTAAGGACTGCAGAAGACCCGAAGTCCCCACTTCTGGACCAGAAGTCAGTGTCCAGATCTGGTCTCACCTCTTCTTTCTCCCTCTTCTTCCCCAGTAAGTGAACATGGTGATCACCTGAGCAGAGGATGAGAAGTGAACAGTGTGGAGGAGAAGAGTCTCCACTCCGGAGTGCCCTGGGAACCTGGCCGGTTCCACCACCCACAGAGTGCTGATGGGCTGGGGAGACTACCGAGGAGCCGCGGCCCAGGGACCTCACTGACCTCTCCCTCACTTTGCTGGCTCAACTGTGAAGGACTGCATGGGTCCCGCCTAAGCTGCTTTCTAGACCAATCATCAACGACCTTATTTCAGACTTCGTAGTCCCGTCTTCCCATTGGCTCCGCGGTGTTTCTTTTTGCATGTCGCCAAAGATTGGGCAGAAGCACTGTAGGTAATCTGCTTATACATTTTTTTTTTTTTTTTTTTGAGAAAATCCACCCATGCAAAATGGTGAATAAAGATACTGCTCACTTTTGCCAAATTATAATCATTACCCATATCATTGAAAGTCTAAATTGGTTTCCTATCAAGATCGGCGCCATGGAAAGCTAGCTTCAATAAAGAGTTTTTTCACAGTTCACTAGTGAAACGAAAAAAGCAAAGTTATTTATAAAAGGCCTTATGTCGTGTACATATATTGTCTTTGAAATATTTGTGATTTCGTTTTATTGCCTGTGAAAGAGAAATTATATAATTTATTCAGCAAATACTACTGTAAACTATAGTTTTATTGAGAGAAATAAAATATTTTGTTCTCAGCTGTGGTGGTATGTTGATTCCAATGGTTTCTAGTCTTTTTTGTGTGTGTGTTTGTGTTTTGGGGAAGGTTTGCACAGCAGTTGCGTTGTAGTTGTTAAGTTCCATCAAGGTGGGTTCTCACTCACAGCTATCCTGTGTAGGGTTTCTAAGGTGCAGCTGGTGGGTTTGAACCACCGATCTTGGCGATTAGCAATCCAGTGCTTATACTACAGCACCAGGCTCCCATTTACCACTTTCTACACCTGGTGTGGCACTGTAGGATAAGCACTGGACTGCTAACTGTAAGGTTGCCAGTTCAAACCCAGCAGCCTCTCCTCAGAAACCCTATACAAGGTCACTATGAGTCAGAACCAACTCGCCAGCACACAACAATAGCACAGGTTGTTGAATGGCAATTACGTTCTTCACCATGTGTGAACATTCTCATCTTTGCGTTCTGGTGGTTCTGTTCCTGTTCATCTTGTTGCCCTAACCCCTTACATTTTTACCTTTGTTCTAAAGTCATGGAAACCAGACCAATCCTACCCCACGTGCATACATAAGTGTCTCCTGTAATTCCAGCCTGTTGTCACCCTGTTCCATGCAGCCCCCGTGGGGCCCTGACTCCTTGCATGTTCTGCCCAAGGGCCTGTGAATATGATCCATCTTTGCAGATCTCCCTCCCTCTCTCCCTTCATCTGGCTTGACCTGGCCTCATCCAATGCAGTGTGATGAGAACTCCCACATTTGGACGGCTTCCACACCTTCCAAGCTAGTCATTACTCTCACAGGGGGAGGGAGGGGGCATCTCCCAATTCATCACTTTCTAGACTCAGACACCCCCCCACACCAGGCCTGTTTCCTGACCCACTCACTTCCCCACTCCCTACACCTGTGCCTTCTACTAACCCACTCCCACCTTACCCCTGACACGGGGGTTTCCTGACCTGCAGCGGCCCTCAATGGTAATGCCTGTGTGCCTACTGAGCCCTTCCCTTCTCCTTCCTCCCACACCTGTGTCTACCTGTGGGCCATCCCTCCTTGCTCCTACACCCACTCACCATTTACTGTCCAGTTCCAAGCCCCTCCCACCTCCTCAGCTCCCCCAGCTTGTCTGCCTCTTGATCGCCCCCACTTCTCACTCCCCACACTGGGCTGTGACCTCACCCCACCTCCTCCGAGTCCACCCAATTTCTCCTGGGGACAGACACTCAGTCGGGCAGACTCACTAGTGAGCACCATGTGGATGAGCATGCTTGCTTGGGTTTACCTGTTCACCTGACGCACCAGTGCACACTGCGTGAATGCACATACTTGGTTGGGTTTACCTGTTCACCTATACTGAGCAGTCTCACTGGGGGTGAAGACCAGCTGTGACCGTGCACTGCAGGTGAGTAAATCAGCACAGTGAAGATTAGGTAATCTTCACTTGCAGATTAGGTAATCCATCCCTGCTTGACTCACCCCACACCTGTCCACGAGGCTCACATCTGCACTCTGTCAAGAGGTGCACACAACCCAACTGTCCACGAACAGATGAGTGGACCAGCCAAGTGTGGCCCATCCACACAAAGGGATCCCACTGAGCCTGAAGGAATTACATGCTGATGCTACCACACTGTGGATGGACCGTGAAGACACAGCTAAGTGACAGAAGCCAGGCCCAAAAGAGCTCGTACTTCCATTGAGACGGGAAATCCTGCACAGGTAGACCCGACCCAGAAACAGAGTGCTGGTCACTGACTGCATGGGCCAGGGGAGAGGTGATAGAGGGGGTTGCTTTATGAACACAGGGTCTCAGTCTGTGGTGATGAAAAGGCTCTGGAGATCAGTACGGTTAGGGTTCAATAGGATGGGAACATGCAGATAGTCACTCTATCATACATTTTCAAAACATGCAAATTAAACTTTATTGGTTACTAAAATCTACCAGTTAACAATAAAAACCATAAAGGATACAATGGGCTGGGATATTACTAAAGAAAAAAAGTCCCACCCAGGTGAGGACCAAATGACTACCCTTGAGGTGACACTTGCTGGCTGTGGATCAGGAGCCTCTTGGGCTGCATGGAGGGCTGCTGTTGGAGCTGTAGGTGGACCGTCACCCTTGGCTGTATTGGGGGAGCCATCCTGGACTGTGGCTGAGGATCACGTGTGGGCTTCAGGGAAAGAGCTGCAATGGACTGTGGATGAGCTTTTGGGAGGAAGTGTGGAATGTGGCCTCTGGTGTCTGGGTCAGAGTTGGAAGGGATGGAGCTACCTCCAGTCCAAGTGTTGGTACAGCAGGACTAACATCAGAAGTCCTATTTTCTCCTGAAGGTGGTCATGGGAGACCTTGCAGCCCTCTAGACAACATTAAGCTAAGTCACAGAAGCCAGGCACAAAAGACCATGGAGTTCCATTGAGATGAGAAATACTGAGCAGGCCAACCCGTAGACACAGAGGGGTCACTAACTGCATGGACCAGGGTAGGGTCCAGGAAGAGGACTGCTTTATGGGCACAGGGTCTCAGTCTGTGGTGATGGGATTGTTCTGGAGGTAGACACTGGTGATTGTTTCATAGAATTGTGGAAGGACAGAAAGCCATTCTATCCTGGGTTCAAAACATTCAAACTAACTCTTACTTAATGTTAAAGTCTATCAATGTCATTAAAATCTATTAAGGATAAAATGGGCTGGGGAAATAAATACTTAAATAAAAAAGGGACTGATTCCAGAGGAGATACTTACTGACTATAGAGAAGGAGTCACTTTGGACTCTGAATGGGGAGCTGCAGAGGG